AAACCCTGTAGCACCGAGATAAACAAAAAAGCCTAAAATTTTCCGAAGAGAAGTAAAAAATCCTAGTTGAATGACGAAAATCCTCCGCCGCTTGCAGAAATCGATCAAACCTCTGCAGAGGGTAAAACATCGCCGATTTATTAGTGACTCTATAAGCTGATAGATATTAACATTGAATCTGATCAATAAAGTAACAGCGACAAAAGAGCCAATATAAAATTCTCGCCTAATGTTGGATATTTTTGGAACATTCCAACGAAGTGGAGAAAAATGCTTTTGAATGAACCATGATCAATGTCACATAAACTCACGAATGCTCTCTATGATTGCAGCAGCAACATTGTCATGTCCAGCAATATGTGCAGATTCCAGAGCACAATGCCCATATGAATCGCGACACTCAGCGTCTGCACCAGCGACAAGAAGCTGCTGAACAGCCAGAACTTCTCCAGCCTCTGCAGCCAAATGCAATGCCGTCTTTCCCACACCATTCGTTGCATTTAGAGAATCTGATATAATGAAAATGGGAATAAAATATTGAAAGCAATAAGAAAACGAAAGCGGCCTTATGGCTTTTGTCATACTTGACGTATTACGACTTAAGGAACGAAAAGCTCTAAGCGTTGATCAATGCCTCTGAAGGAGGCGCCATGCAATCGGCTTCTTCAAACATTGTTAGAGGTGATTGTATGCATATATGGGTCCTACAATGACTCGTAAAGGCCTACCGATGTATCATATCAGTCCTGCTATCCTCCAAGAGAAGTCTGGTATAAAGTCACCGACCCCGGGGTAGGGAAGTTTGGTTAGCCCAGAGCGCGAGACCGAACCACCTACCACCTGTGTATGTCTCTAACGCTCCACAAGCGTCCCTATATTACTAAAATTATGTAATACTAAAAGAATGGAAAAAGATTCAACAAAACTATAAACTCCAGTGAAGGGCAATTCTCATAGCACCAACACCGATTTTAGCAAGACACTTCAGTTTGCCTTACTGCTTTATTCGACCCGTATCAAAGACTTTTTTCAGTGTGCAGATTTCAGTACTCTAGTATTCCATTCGTCTGCTCGCTTCCTTGAGTTTCTGATCTTCCCCACCAACGTCGTAGAATACTGGCCAATCACGTCGCCTTGCAATCTCAAGGATAGCCAAATAAGAAGTTTCATGGTGCGCCCGTCATTGAATGCCGGAAAAACTTGGGGGATCAACATCGCGTAGAGCCGGGCCAATTATCACTAGCCACTCGGCCACCCGCTTCCTTGGTAAGATCCAATTACACTAATGGAAGCTTTGTCATATTTGAAAACCCTATGACAACGTGACTTGATCATACGCAAGACGACGAGGGGATTGTGGAAAAAGAAATGTCGACAAAGTGAAGAGTCAAAAGGTCAAAGATCACTCACCATGGTTGAGTGCAAGTAGTGTTTTTAGACTATCAATTCTGCCATTGTGGGCAGCGAGCATAATTGGAGTACGACCATGTTGGTCGACTTTCGTTAAACTCCACGGATTTTCTCGAATCAAATCACTGACTAGTTCCAAGTTCTCAAACAAGATCGCCTGTAAGTCATACAAAATAACGAATAATATCCATGATCGACGAATACAGATTAAGTTTGGCGTTAAGCTAGTAGTTTTGTAGTTCTTAGTGAGCACATATGAAACCGTTAATGATACAGCTTATTCGTACATTACAGTATCACAATGATGGTTGACGTTTAGGCAGTTTTGGCTTTACAGAGTCTCGAAGAGTTAAATTGACATGCAATCTACTAAATCAAACACTTTCATAACTGAAATATAACTCACAAGAAAACTGGTAAGCTTCAGAGCAGATAATGCCTCCGGAAAGGGTTAGATACGGGTTCAACTCCCGTCCGTGGTTCAAAGTTCTGTATACCACTCAACAAGACAGGATATATGATTGTAACATAATACCACTGCTAAATATGGTTAACCCTTTGGATACCGCGCACCCAAGCCTCTGCAAGTCTAACTGGCAACTGTGAACGGTCTGTACCACCTCCTCTACAACTCCAGCCCACACGGTGCCATCTAAAACGCAACAGTCTGCCATTGTTAGACGCAGCACGCTAGGGGTTAGGTATGCAGGAGGGGTAGGGGAGGGGAGGGGTGCAGCAGAACGTCCAGAGTTGCCTGAATAAAGGAAATGCTTGTTGAAGTCTAGAGCAACGAAACCGTTAGTATTCAATAGCTTACTACGCGGTTAAGCCTAGAAGTTAGGTATAAAGTTTTGCTCGACTGAGGTAAGTGCATGTCAATTTCACTCGCCGAGGCTCTGAAGAAAGAGCAACTTCTACAAGACAACCGGCATTTTTCCAAAACAGGGAGGCATTTTTTCAGAGAGGCTGCTGTCGTTGGGCAGAAAAGTCACACTAGACTGTTAGTGATTATTTGGAAGCTACATCTCGGCAATCCCAACAGCGCACTTGTTTTTTGAAAAGGCCCTACTGCGCTGTAGCAATGGAGATGAAGCTGAATTTTACACTCGGCGCAGTATCGCGCTTATTTTTGCAATTTTTTCGAGAGAAATTTTTTTGTAGCGCAGAAATTGTCAGGTCTTCCACATTAAAACTGAGAAAAAACTTTGTTCTTTCGTGTTATGGGTGTGAGCTTTTCAATTTCATTCTATATTGCCAAATAAACCCGATACTAACCCTACGCCTATGTGGATTAAGCCTATGCACAGATAGCATATGGACATTTACAGAAAGCATGTAGTATCACAACCATGTGTTTTATTCAAGAATTTTCGCTTCCAAAAAGGGATGACAAGAGTCATGCGCTGCGCTATCGATCAAGCCATCGCGAGAGTGATGACATTGCATGTAGAACTTAATCTACTTTTCGCTCTTGCAGAGCTCATTCCACAAATCCAATTTATTTTGAGGATCTTCGAGATCTCTTCTATCGAATAAGTATTTAAAATCCAACAAATAGTCGTCTACAAACCTTAGTTGAGCAAACAAATCACTCCTAATGTAAAACTCAACTTTGTTTTCACTGCTACAGCGCTCTAAAAAGGTTTCCTTAAAAAAAAGAATTTGTAGCATGCAGATAGATGAGACCTAAACTATCTAATGACTGTTAAGAGTGCATAGAAAAGCGAAAAAATTCATGTCCTTAGAGGATTGGGAAAATGTGCGCGATAACAGAAATGTATTAATCAGCCACCATCATTGTACTGAATAAACTCTATTGTAAACAACCTCGCATCCGGTCTTAAAAAATTACGAAATAACTAAGAAAAATCAAAAAATTTCACACTGAATATCGCAAAGACACCGTAAAGCGGTAGAGCAGATCGCAAAAAACCAATGTATCCCTTTGCAGACGGTGCTTGGTCGATTTCTCAAGCCGCGCGCGATTTTCGTTGTTTCGTAAATATTTTTGTTCAAAAAAACTTCAGTTTTTGTACTACTTTGATGCTATATGACTTTCTCTACACGCTCCTACGCTTTACATGTACATATAACTCTTATATGCGAAGAAAACTCCGAGTGTGAGATGTAGTCTTCTTTTCGCTCCTACAGCGCACTAAGAGGGCATTTTGAGAAACCAAACACAGTACTGAAATGACAGGAATTTATGCTTTTCAATGGCCACCAAAATTTTATTGAAAAAACTTTGTCCAGTTAAAAATACCTTGAGGGTCAAAATGACTCTCACTGCTCAAAGGGATATACGGTGAAAAACTAGAAGACAAAGATAAAAAACGAGCCAAAACAATAATGAGCCGATCGCACCTGTTTTATAAGCTGCATTATGTCGGATTCTTCGTCCTCGTGGGGAGCATTATCGCTCCCCGGCATCTGAAATGGAGAATCGCTCACATTCAAAGAATTATTTGAGGAGAAATTTCAAGAAAGATCTAATCAGGTCGTTCCATTAGCTTTGACACTGAAGCAAGAAGCACCAAATTTAATAACCAGAATTAATCAATACTGCATGATTTTGGCATCGTTCAAATGCGTAATTTCTTGCGAAAATTCTAGGATACAATTTTCCTATACTTTCCTCAATATGGAACTGTCTTGGAAACAAATTCTCTTGCTACTCATGCATGAATGGCGCGTAGGTTAGTGAAGCGGTGCGCAAAATTAACGGAGCTTCCTGTGGTTGGCCCAAGCGTGACTGATCCTCCAGACTGTTCTCTCCAGCTTTAGACTTCGCAAACCGTTTCCTGACCGTCTTTATTGCAACCACATCATCGTCCCAAGCTCCACTAATCTTGAGCGCCGTTTCACTGGCATTTTCCCATACGCGCCATTCATGCATGAGTAACAAGAGGATTTGTTCCCACGACAGCTTCATCTTAGGGCAAGTATGGGTAAGTCGAATACCAAAATATTCGCAAGGATATGCGCAATTGAACGATACCAAAATTATGCAATTTCAATCACTTCTGGTTGAAAATTTGGTGTTTATTACTTTAGAGCTATAACATGGAACGGCTTTATATTAAGGCATAGACGAGATAAGCCAATAGTTACAATCGCAAGCAGTTTCAAGAAACAACGGAAAACAACGGACTCATAGGAAGACATCGGCATTACGAACTTTTTTATATGATTTTGACCTTGATATCTACGTCACAACAGTTTTCTATAAATAGAACGGCTGAATTTCTCAAGAAAACTTCGATTCAATCATCTTCTGCCTTGAAACTATTTTCACTTGTTTGCCGCGTCGTCGCTGAAAGCTAGAAAAAAGAACTAAGAGTTTTTGTTTGTATATGACTTTTAGAGAAACTGAAACTCAAAAAAAGACGATAAAAATTGGTGCCTTGAGTTTGAAATTTTGAAATCACAAGGCTTTCCCAAGGTATAGTTTCCGATATAAATATGCTGAAGTCCATTCGATTTCGTATTTCGATAAGAATGTTGAGCAAATTCATGACAGATGTAGAATAAAATTCTTTTTGTTTGACCGCTTTTAGCTGTGGTATAATGTCACAGACATAACCAGTGATGTAGATCAGTAGTGCAACGGGTTAGAGCACGCGCTCCCGCGGATAGAGCGAGATGCGGGTTCGAGTCCCGCCTGACGCGATAGTTTTGCACATCACTCTACATCACTAAGAATAGCAAAATGGTACGAAAAAAATATATGACATGTGACAATACGACAAAACCAACAAAAAAAACAGCATCATGAGAAAGCTGAAATCGAAAAATAAATAAATTAATAAAAACGAAGCGGAACAATGGACGCTTGTCGAGTTGTGATCTCATCAATTTCTTAAGCATAAGCGTAAGCCCAAGCCCAAGCCTAAGCCTAAGCCCAAGCCTAAGCCTAACCCCAAGTTTAAGCCTAAGCCCAAGCATAAGCCCAAGCCGAAACCTAAGCCTAAGCCCAACCCTAAGCCCAAGCCGAAGCCTAAGCCTAAGCCCAAGCCTAAGCCTAAGCCCAAGCCTAGGTCTAGGCGAGCTCTCCTAAATTTTTATTTGAAGATATCAATTTTTGAAAAAATTTAAAAATTGAAGGGGCCACAACTCCCTCGAAGGACCGAACATTGAAATAGAGAATCTTAAAAGGTTCATTTCGGCATCAAATAGAAACACAAAAATCGAGATCTAAACAAAGAGAGATCGCCTTTCTTTTTTTTCTTAACTGAACACTACGTAAAAAGCAAAAAAAAAATCTGCGTTTGGTTCGATGACGATGGAAACTGCGACTCGATCGCACTTAGTAGAACGAGTAGATCAGACTGAAGCGAACGACTTCTGGACGTTGGACGCGTGCGGCCGGTGACCTGCCACGATCAATAACGAGTCACTGCGATTGACCACGGAGCGCACTTCTGCAAATCCGCGCCACACAACGCCTAGTTTTTGCGCCATCCATCGCCAGACCCTGTAGAGATCGCGCTAGCTGGTAAGTTTATGGAATGTCCAGATGACTTCCGAGCTCTATTTGGGAAGTTTTTTATCCCAAATATTGCAGCTTGAACCTAAAGGCTGCTCTTCGTAGGTTGCATGCACCTAAGAGACGCGGGTGGCGCAGCGACTAGAAGTGCTGTGCGACAATGACGTCGTCGATGGTTCGATCCCGCCCCCGAAGGCTCCTCAAGCCTTCCCATCTCTCCAGGATCGGTGAATTGATACCAGACTTGTGTGGGTGGATAGTAGTACTGACTTGACACATAGGTAGGCCACCACGAGTCATAGGGAAGGTCTTTATGGATCCACTCACCTCAAATAAGGCAAGCAATTGCAGACGAATGCATGGCGTATCCCTCCAGGGTTGATCAACACCGAGAGCTTGATCCTTTGAGCTTTTTGTATATCTAAACCCCCAACGCTGCCGCAGGGTTTTTAAGCCCTTTCTCTTTTAGATTCGTGTTAGTAGAGCGAGGAGTACCCACTGGGCCACTCCTAGACGCGATATGGTTAATGGATGTCTCACTGTCGTCCGCTCAAATTACTCAACGATTAACGAGCCGACACGTGGTACAGGTGATCCATTGATGGTAATTATGAGTGCATTGTTAAGCGTAGGTTGCTCACTGAATGCTCATGAGACAGCAAGTTCGCAAATTCAGTCCTTCGTGGTTGAAAGACTTGATAACTGTTTTTCAAACCAAGCTGTGCATAAATATATTGATAGACGTACACTCTGTGATAAGCAGGCCACTCTGGAGATGTCTTATCAACGGTTTATCATCTTATCATAACGGAAAATATTAAGCTAGCGACTATTACACCGACTGGAGAATAGAGAGGTCCGTGCGCCAAAATAAGCCGTGTGAAGGAATGATCTCTTAAAGGTTGTAAAGGTCAGCTTCGCTTTAACTATGATTCCCATAGATGTCACCTCGCGGCGAATGAAACGGCTCTTCCTGTAAAATCCCATATCATGCTGATAGCACACCTCCTTAGTGAAGAAGCGTGCAGCATTTGAGGCAGACATGAGGAGACTCTCACATCTCAAGAACCTAATAGCAATTCGCATCAACATGCTGGCTTCACTTTTTTATGTTACCTTTCAGAACGGTAGAGTTGTCAGTCACTCGAATACGAAGGAGCGTATTACTGCAAGAGCATGATTCATGAAAAAATGCTGTAAAATAAAACTCAATTTCACTGCTATCTGCTTGTCCGTTGTTTACAGATTTACCATGGTTGCCTTCAGTGGTACTGTTATGAGGACTGGTACGGCACTTATACATTGCTAAACAGGCACTTGTTTCGCCCTTTCAGGCTTCTCAGCAATACAGCGCCCTTCACTTCAGCTGATCCCTTGGGGATACACCTCTAAATAAGGAGGAATCTAGGCCGAAAAAACAGGCACTGAGCTACTGATGAGCCTCGAAGGGCGAAACAGCGGCTGCCTAGTTCTGTATAAGTGCCGTACCACATCTCATGGCAGGCTCTAATATGTTATAATGTTATCAGATCATCACTGTTTTGTGCGAGGTTTATATAAATGGTCGAGAGTACGGTATGATTCAGTGAGACTATTGAAACTGAATGCAGAAGAGCCAATCGAGGAATTATAGTTTAGGGAAAACGTACACCATGACAAACCATTTTTAAGCTATAATCAACTTAATGTAGTAAGATCGCAAGACTTCACTTTGTTTCCCTACCACGGACTAAGATCATCTAGAAGCATTAACGGAAGCACTGGATAACGAACGTCTGCCTACTCTCTATAAATAAATCCTTCGTAAGTTCTGCGAACATTACCATTTCTCAACTGCAATGCAATAGAAGTGAATAGAGGGACTCGAAAAGGTGATATCACCTTACGGAGTCATGAACAGCCATTGTGGAGGAAGTTATGTGGAAATTGGAAAGCGATACATGAAAGTGAAAGTTGATGGCCACATGTACACCATTTTTAGTTCGTCGGTGACGTCAGTTTTGTGAGTTGTCACGTAATTGTTTCGTAATAGTCGCGCGTGAAACGTGCTCGCTGGCCACGGTACCCTGCACAAAAGGGTACCTCATTTCCGATGAAGATGAAGTTACCGAGCTTTTCATTTTGAACGATTCACAATTCTCGTCATTTCACAACGTGTGGGCCTCGACTATTGATAACAATGCGATATAAGAGGTGAGATCAAACTGAACCGTAGCCATCGACGTACTAACGTTAACCCCTTTGCTAAACGTGGCGTATTCAATAGGCAGCTCATCCAGAAGAGATATCGCGCCACGAATGGCTAGCGAAAGGTTATTCTTAGACGTAATAATTTGTAAGGGGGGAGGGGGAGGTGGATTAGGACAGTGGATAATCATGCACGCCACGAAAAAGCATGATTCGTCCTTGTCCTCCAGCGCTCTCCCTCATATTGATATGAAGTTGTCTTGGCTAATTAGCTACAGAAATACGTAGGGATCGTCTCAGCTAGCATTCTAGGGAATTCATGACGAGGTTCTCAATCAGCGACGTAGTGACTTATATGTGAGATATTTAGTTTTTCTGGAGGATGAATGCGAGGAAACGACTCGAATGCAGGAAGTGTTGGGATACGCACAGCATAGCGATGTCACAGGTCTTGTAGAAAAGTCACACAGAATTACTATGTCAAACACTTATAGTGTAAAAAATGTACAACATGATGTGCATAATCATGCAAAAAAATTACATTTGAAAAAGTTTCTTTGGCACCTATTTTTTCGTTCTGTCTGAACTGTTTCATACAAGGAATGTGGTAAGACTATCTTGGGGGCTGATGAGGAAGATGCTATGAAAGCAATTGTGCTTCTAAATAGCCGGAAGTCTCAGAAATATGTAAGGTTATCAACAGCGTAGTATTTAGATATTGGTGGAAAGAACTATATAGAAAGAGTGGGTACTTATATGTTAGACGGCGATAAATGAATATTCGGCCTCATTGGCTGGACAAGAATTTTTCATAGGAATTATTCATAGTGATCACTTTGAAGCTTAACTCTCTGATTAGAGCGTACGTGGTCGGTTTTTTTGAAAAGACCCTCTCCTAACGCTGCCAGATCCAAAATGATATTATATTTCACACGAGCACGTATTTTTTTCCTTATCTCGCATATATTACGCTAAGCAAAACTCCTTACCCAATCTGCTAGTGCTCCTTCGATAGCAAAAGTCTCGAAGAATACATAAATTGTTTGCTCTTTGGAAAACTTTTTTGATAGTGATATAGGAGAAAGAAAACATTTGTGTTTCACACTTGCAGAATAGAGCTCTTTATTTGGGTTATTAGTAATCAGTCGATAGCATAAGTTTTAATGATTGCAACGCTATGCCTATTTTCTGGAAAGACCGTTTCACTGCAGTTAGCAGGGAAAATAAGATCGAGTTTCACATGTTCGGCGAGCTTGTTTACCAGCTAATCTACACTTCGGGGGGGGGGGGGGCGATCAATCGATGACCTAAAGTGTTAGACATGTGAGATGCAACTTGTTGTTCAATTGGGAAATTTTTTTCCGCTCTGTATCAAACTCCAGATAAAACGATTGATTCAGGTACTACAAAATTTGTTCTGCACATTTATAACCTTTTTGTGCTTCCAGCAAATCATACGCGTGAAAAAAATGAAAGCGTGCGGAGGGTGTGAAACATAATTTTGTTTCGAATGCTACCGCGATATAAAATGCTTTTATGAAAACCGGTGACATACGACTCTAGACAGGGATTTAAGCCTTCGAATCGTTCAGCGAGTGAGGTCGAATATTCATTTGACGCCGTCTAATACACAAGATTGTCCTCAGTGTCGTTTGAAAATGAGTTTTCTCCACCAGATTATAGTCTGAAACATCTATGAAACAACGCTATATATATGGAACATCTAGAAAATGCGCAAAATGTAAAAATTATAGCGATGATGAAAGATGAAAGGTGAACCCTTGACGTTAATCTGCCCTTCCGAAATGCTCCATATATTTGAGTTCACCAAACATCCTTAAAGATGACTACATATACAGTGACCTTCGGCTCTCTACTAATGTTTCATCAAGTCAGTGTAACTATCCTGCCATAGAAGTTTAGTCACAGTTTCCCGATCTCTCAGGGATGAAAGGCTTGATGAGCTTGGTAAGAGCAATCAATCGAACAACAACGT